CGAAGCCACCTCTCTCTACTCGGGCCGTCAATGTATGGCACAGCACACAGCGCGCATGCCACAACATTGTTTCGGCTTCACAACACAATTGGTTCGAGGAATTTGCTTTTTTTTTCTTCTCTTCTACGTTGATACGTAAATCTTGTACATTTGATTCGAAACATTTCAAATTGCCCGTTTGCAAAACATTCTTTGTCCATCGACGCGTCGAGTGTCTGCATGTATATTCGAAATGGCATTGTTCAGTGTGCACACTTTTTCTTCCGATTCCCGTGCCAAGCGAAATGCATCAACAAATCAATCTGAATAATTGACTGTATTGTTGCCGGTTTTTTTTCCCTCTCCCCATATATATTCTCTTGTTGGTTGTCGTTTCTGTTCTGTCTTCTTCGTTCGTGTTTTTTTTTCTCTCTCTCGATTGCATTCTTTGTCGCTTCATTTGCATAATTTTTTTTCCTCTACATCGTTCAAATATTTTTTTATGTTTCCGGACTGCGCGGAACGAGGTATTTGAAACAAAAAACAATCCTGACTTGTTCTTGTAGCTCTCATTAGCATTAGAAAATATGGCCGCGTATATTTCAGGTTTGGTGTGTGCGATCCTCGATCAAAATCATGCGGGAGTGTGGTGTGGTGTGGTGAAAACAAATCCAAATTTCGATTGGCCGAATCGCCGGAATTGTTCAAGGTCAAGAGCGCTCTCTATCTCTCGCTCTCTTTCGAATTATGCATGCATACATTTTGCAGCGGCTCACTTTATATAGATCTTGACTCATGCGAAGCACACGAATGCATAATCACTTCCATAGTCGAGTGCACTTTAGACGAAAGTGAAAAGAGCTACCATGTGTTTCTTTTGCCTTGTTAATGAAATGAAGAAGTAGAAGTGTACGAAAAAAAACCCGCACACACACACACACACAAACACACACATGACCGCGCTCGCTCACACACGAAACGCAATAAATTCCACAGAGAAGCGACAGCGAATGTAGGTTGTTGTTCAACTGGATTGTAGTGTTTTGTGCGAAAAGCGTGTGTATGTGCGCGCGCCTGAGTTTGCGATCGCACTCGCTGACGTTCACATTGCATCGCTAAATGTGCATTACATTTGAAATGCATGAATGGATATATTTTACCACAACATGTGTGGGGCAATCCGTTATGTGGCAAAAACAGCATAACAACAAAAACGACTCAAAAAAATCTGAACATTGCATTCATAATATTTACGATTGGGAAAATGTCAAAGAGTATACATAATCGTGTGCAAACACCAATAAATTTAATCAAAATAGGAATCATAATGGAGATTCTTTTGCGCCTTTTTTCCCTCCGTCATCTCCGTCTTATTTGTACATCGCATGCAAAATAGCATTTACATTTGGGCTTGAATTGAAGAAGAGGAGAAAGGAAGACAAATGTGAACAAGAAGAATAGTTTCTTAAACAATTTGATAAACGCTCTTTTAAGAGAGAGAGAGAGAGTGTGTGTGTGTGCGTGTGTGTAGCCACAAAATTGTGTGGTGATCACTGATCACCAGCATAGATATTCCACGTAGATTCCGTTCATTTACGGCATACAATGACTATAAGAAAACTGGCGAAAATAATTGAAGTTGGATCGAAAAAAAAACCTTCAAGACATTCATTAGAACCGAGGCTCGTCGATTTCCTAGCAAACAACCAATTTTGTCTACTAAACCAGTTTAATTGAAAAGAAAAAAAAATCCAATTTTTCTTCTCTAGGACGATCGTGGAATTATCTCCAGAGTGTTTTTCTTGTGTGCGTCTTGTCTGGAACGCGATGCACAAATCGGTTTTTATTTTGACCACAAATTATCTGATTTTATTATCTATGTATCAATAAAAATGTGTAATCGATTGCTTACTAACAACTTCGTTGCTACAACAATTCCTCGAGTTGTCTAAAAGAGTCTGGTACGCGCGCACACGAAAGCGAACGTGAATGCGACAGTGCAAAATGAACGAAAAAAGGGGAGAGAAAAAAGAGACACACACGCACACAACGCAAATAAAACGAGAAACATTGATGTAGCCAAAAAGATAAAGAAAAACGTGAATGCCAACACAATACACAATACACACACACATGCGCATTGCAATTTTCTTTTGGATATTTTTCTCCATACGGAGCTTGCCTTTTGCTGCTGCAAAAGACACACGCAGCCGAACTTAATAGATTAGACCAGATGAAAAATAATATGAAATTATTAAGGCCAGTGGACGTTGGAGTCAACCAGCCAACTCTCATGGGCTATTGATGCCAATAAAAGCAAACGAACAGACAGAGACAAGCGAAAGCAACATAAAATGTAGCACGGTTGTCATGATGAGTAAGTGGTATCAGTGGCTGTGCCAGTGCGCGAGAATGTACCAAGTGCATCGAATGACTCGGATGGCGAACACCAAATGCGATCATTGTTATAATGTAATTTTTGTTGAGCACGCCTCGGAAATCACTACACGCAGTCGTTCTTTATTAGCGATGCAGCTACTACTATTGCGCACATTAATTTTCTTCTTCTTCTACTTCTACTTCGACGTTAGTTACACCAACCACGGCGGCGGCGGCAGGGTGATCGCATAAACATAATTTATCGAAAGGACATGTGGTGTGCGCGCAAATACGCGTTTTTTCCCTTCTTCTTTCAGTCGCTTTGTTCCTGTCTGTGGCGTCGTGTGAATGGCATGATATCAATCGTCACCTAAACACATGTGCCATGGCGCATTTCCACGCCGCCGCCGCCATGGCACACACAAAATCTCATGTGCGTTTCGCATCCATCGTCCGCTCTCTCTCTCTCTCTTCCTCTCTCTCTCTGTGTGTGTGTGTGTGTGTCTAGTCTCGCAACAATTGACAATGCTGCGGCTATTTATATGCGCGTTTGTTGCATTTGTAACAAAATAAATAATGATTGTTGTAATGTATAAACGATGCAACAAGATAGAGAAGAGCGCTTGCGCTAGAGACGGCTACAACAGTATATATGCCTACTTACATGTCTTTGTTGCATTCACTTAAGGACAGTTTTTCCAAATATTTTTACATGTATCTGCCACTAAAATGTATCTATCCCAGTGGTTGTTATGCATCTCACTGGTTCCACTTGCAACGCAACTCTATTCTCGGCTAAAATAATCGGCGTATTTTCTCTGCTCGCCGTTCAGTGTGTCTTCTTCTTTTGTTGCGAAGTGTGTTGCTGGTGTTTTGTGTTTGTGTTTTTTTCCCTCTTTGCTTCTTTCTATTTGCTCGTTATACGTTGTTCAGTGTCTGCCTCTCTCTCTCTCTTCGCAGATATTCTTTTCGCTAGAATGTTCCGCGCGTCTATGTAGAGATTGATCTGTGCATTGTTCATATTGTTTTTTTGCCGTTGCCGTTGCCCTTGTTGTCTTTTTCTTCATTTACGTTTTTTCCCATTTTCATTTGTTGCTGCAAATCTCTTGCGATGCGCTCATTTATTTCAGACAGAGATTTCTGATCCTTTTGCTTCTTGTGAATCGTGTCTCTTGTACATCTTTCTTTCGAGATGCCATAATGGCATGCAACGACACTGAACACAAAACTGTCAGTTCTTACAAGAGGAGAGCGTTGAAAAAAAAAACGATATAAACAGTCTCATAACATTGTACTCACTATTTACGATTATAAAATATGGCAATCTCCTCGCTTTATTGTCCATTAATAATAGTTATTAAATTGTTTTGTAGACACATTTGCATGAAACGTGAAGTAGAACTCATACATCGCAACATTGAGCCCCGGCGTTTTTTTCCGCTTCTTTGCAACGAGAACGGATCATTTTATTGAGTCAAGCAGAGACAAGCGTTTATTGTTTTTGCCGGATGGCGATTTAAATCACTTAATCCATGGGCTGCCTGATATGATTCTTATTACCGAGGTTTTGTTTTCTCTTTGTATTATTATGCCAGCCACTTGTGAGAATCACCTCGTCCTGTTTTGCGTAATTATTTTCCTGCAAAAATGACTGTCTGGAGTCATCATCATTAGTGCATTGTTTTTTCTTCTCTCTCTCTCTCTCTCTCTCTCTCTCTCTCTCTCTCTCTCTCCTTTCTTTCTTTTCATTCATGTATGCGCATGCATTTTTTTTTTGCAACGATTCATTTCGCATCGGATAAAAGACTTTCATTGTTTTCAATGCAAAACACTGCAAGCACACATGTTTTGGTGTTGGGTTTCAATTTGGTTTCGATGTTGACATCTTGTCAATTGACGAAGACGAACAACAAACACAAATAAGATATCACAAACCGCAAATATCATATCGTTCAAACCAACGAGATTCGCATTTGTTTGCGGTAATTATACGGAATGACCTTAAATATAAGCTGACGTGAACAATGTTCTAATGACAATTTCAAATATTGACATATGCACTACACGTATGCGGTTTATTTGATTAATTTTCATTGGGCTGCGGGTGTCTGTGTGTGTGCGTGTGTGATTTGTTTTGATACGAAGTCGGGGGTAATTGATATTAGCTGATGGAAAATTTACACGGAAAAAAAAATACGCATTTCTGTGCGACATGCACTATATTTCCGTTCTAAGTTTAGATGTTTGCACTTCATTGTGACGTAAATATTGACAGTCAAATCAGTTTACACATTGTGATTACGCTGCATGTTGTGCAAGTCACCAACTTTTCTTCTTCTTCTTTCGTTCATGCTTTGCAAAAATCAATTGACTCGAAGAGAAAACCAATTGAGTTGAAATCCTGTTTATGACCATTGTAAGCCTACATATTGAATTTATCAAAATTGGATTTTTTTTTGTCGTGAGTCGTTTCCTGTACAATCACGTTTTCATTGGAAGAAAAGAAAAACAACGGAATTCCGAAAAGATTGAAAGTTTCAATAAGTTTTTTTCCAGTCTGAAACAAACTCCTTTGTAGAAGAAATGTAACACTTTGTCAAACATTTGCTAAATGCTTAAGCTGTTCTTTTTTCTGTCTGCAGGTAAGCCAAGGAAGTATATCCGATCAAGCTGGCCTCCAGCCGGGCGATGCAGTGATTGCCGTAAACAATGTTGAAGCATTCAATTTGCGACACAAAGATGCCCAAGATTTGATTGTACGATCGGGCAATACGTTTGAATTGACAATCCAACGCGGTGGTTCGACATGGAAACCACACGTTACACCGACCGGTTCGTTGCCAAGTCCCGGCCAACAACACCACTATGGCGTCGGTCCAGTGACAAAAACATCATTGCAACACCATCCACCACCAAATGAACAGCACATCGGTTGCGGATACAATAATTCGGCTCGCCCATTCAATCAAAATGGCAGCGTCGGCGGTGGCAGTGGCAACGTTAAGAGCATCGTCAACAAGCAATACAATACGCCAGTTGGCATGTACAGCGAAGAATCAATCGCCGAAACACTTACCGCTCAAGCTGAGGTTTTGGCCAACGGAGTTCTTGGGTAAGTGCACACAACAAATACCAGCATATACTACAGTTTGATATTTAACAACACTGTTGTTCGCATTTGTTACCAATTCCGCACACGAGCGCGCGATTGCGCGCTCACGCCATGATCTTGCGCACATATTCGCTCAATTACATCGAATTGCCCGTGTTCGGTTCGTGCTCTATTCCACCGATTCAATGTTGTGTTACAGAGCACACACAATGGCACACCATTCGACTGTCGTGTGGCTGGCTTGAAACTGAGAAATGCGCAATCGATTTGAATACTTTTCGAAAAACCGGATTTGCACAGTTTCAATTCCCCATTGAGAGACAGCCCAGCAGTTGAATGTGTGTATATGTTGCATTTATTTTGTATTTTATTTTAGTTTAGTTTTTTTTCTTTACAACAAACGCTTCTCTCAAATTGACCACAATAATGTATCGAAACGAATGTAATTGTTTTGTTTTTTTTTTTAATTTTTGTCTCTGTTTGATTTTACATTGCAGAGTTAATTTCAAGAAGAACGAGAAAGCTTACAATTCTGAAGGCTCAGAAGTGTTGAAAGCATTGAAAGAAAGTGAAAACGATCCACGAGAACCAGGTAAATGGAATGTTCAATGTTGGACGACTGAAATACATGGATATGGAATACGCATGCATTCAATGTTTAGATTATTTTTTGCTTTTTGAACAAACAAATCACTATGTTCTCACCACAGAGTTTGCTGCCACTGTATATCCAATTTGATCAATTTGATCTAATTTTATTTCAAGTGCTCCCAATAACACACATTACTTTGCCCTTTCCACTCCTTGATCGCGCACTCGCGAGCTCACACATACACACACACACATATAGTAGAAATAGATAGAGCGTTTTTTTTTTCAATCAAGAAATTCTACACACAAACATTATTTGCAGAGCGCACACACAAGAAAGTGGATAGGCTTCATTTGAATAGAAAATCAATTGAATTTGATAAAAACAGCACACGAAATACATAAAACACAATTTTTTGTTGACACAGATCCACACAGATTTGCACACCAACAACAACATCATCATCAACCAGTTACAAAGCATGTCAGTGCACCGATCGATCGTCCAGCACCACCTTCAACAGGCGGTTTGCCACCTGGCCAAAACATTTGCTCTGATTGCGAACGATTAATTGTGTAAGTTTATTGGCGAGAAAACCGAAGAAAAAAAAAGAAACAAACAAACGACAGACATTCAAGCAGAAAGACACAGAAACAAAACAAAACAAAACGAAACCATTCCAATGCGAATACACAAATGCAAATGCAAACAAAATCTAGATCTGATTTTATCAGTCGATCTACTTTGAATTTGAGTGAACAAAAAAATATATCTCTTTTTCTTATCAAGGGCAACGTTTTACAAAATGTAGTAAGATTGTGCAGTATATAGAGATAAGAATACAATTGAAAACGAAACACTTCTATTCCTAAGACTTTCCAACACATTTGATTGCTGTTAATCCGTGATACACACACTTGCATTCTATGTTGTTTTTCCCATGTATGTGATCCAGCCATTTGCTCTTTGGTCCCTGTCTCAGTGTTCATTATTGTTGTTTTTTTTATTTGTTGTATATGGGAAATGAAAAACTTTCTCTCTCTTTCAACATATCAGCTCTTTTACTCTCTCTATTTTTCTATTGACATTCATAATATTTTAGTGTCGTCTCATTTCTATTGGACAGCAAGTCACGCTATCGGTAACTATAGCGCCATTTCCTCACGCACAAACACTCCAAATCCATACAGTGGTCAGCAACAACAACAACAAGTGCAACAGCAGCTATCACAACAGATCAGTCGAAATGAGGATTTTGCTGGTATAATGTTCTGCATTTAGTTCTTGACCCAAAGAATTATGTTTTTTTTTTATCAACGAAAAAACCTAATTGATACCCATAGAACAAAAGAATAACTTATGAGTTCTCTCACCCATAAATGGGACGGAAAAAAACTTGGAGCAAAAAGAGACAAATAATTATTGTAGAAAATAAAAAGAACTACAAATAAGCCGAAGACATCTAGTCGTTATCTCTTTCCAGTAGCGAGAAAAATGCAAAAAATTATCTTTTCCGCTCAATACTGAGTTGTGTCACTTTTTTGCTCTAAGTTTTTTTCCGTCTCTCATAAGTTGTTATTTCATTCTATGGGTGTCAATTTGTATTCACTTGAAAATTTAATTGATTCTATAATCTTTTGCCATTTTTCTGGTTTGTTTTTTTGCAATGAATGAACCAGCATCGGAAAGTGTACAAAGGTCGATTTTGCCGTCCACAACCACCGATTCAACGAAAACACCAATTGTCCAAACGAAAATCGTCGATTCCTCATCGCAATGCATTGCTGCAAGCGCTGATGCGTCGCAGCAACAGTTGACAACGACGTCGTCGAAAGCGTCGCCTCCGTGTGGCGATTGTGGAGCAACAATCGTGTAAGCAAAGTGAAAATGAGTCACCTTGTCAATTGTTTTTTTTCTGTCCTTATTCGAGATGAGTAAATCAAGCCAAAACCAAAATCTCTCTGACTTCAGGAATTATTCCTAAAAACCAAAAATCGTCCGTTCTCCTAAGAGTTCTTTATTTTGATGCGTGTGTTAGTCTGTTTATTCGGTGTTCTTATTTTTGGATTACCCTGTTTTATTTTTGATTGATTTTGATGATGAAAGTGTTACAATATTTTTTTTTTATGCCAACCACTTTTGACAAGCACACAATAAAGAACATTTGCCAAACGGATTCGTCATCGAAATGTTTGGGCAAATAAAACAAAAACACCAATACGGTATATCTATTAAAGTATCTATTCCTTGGTGATTGTGATCACATTTCGATTGACCTTGACCGAATTACCTTGTGACCACTTACGCATCACTCTCTCACTCTCTCTTTGTGTTCACCTGATTCTGACTCAGCCAAATTGAAAACAAATCATAGAAGAAAAACAAATCAACTAAAAAATGTTTGGCACATATATTATTCTAATCGCATTCGGTCTACCTGTCTCTTTCTAATCCGTTATAGGAAAAAAGCCCTTTGTTTTTGTTGTTCATCCGTGAGAGTGTTGTTTTTAGTAAAATGACTCAATCAATGATCGAACTTTTGAAACATGCACGTGTCTTGTTTATATAAGTTTTGATTTTTTCGTTAAATTTTTTTCTTTCTATTCTTTTTGTCATCATATTTATGATCTTTGTCCTTCTCCTGGCAACAATAATTTTTTTTTCACTCAAATTCAATTGATTCGGATTGTTTGTGTTTATTGAATGGCCAGAAAAAAAGCACACAAAGAACATATTCAAATTCGGTTTCATTCTGTTTTCTGTCTTCATTTGTTTTTCTTTTCTTTTTTTTGTTTTCCATGCCTAATCCAAATGGTATGTCGATTTGGTTGTGTAACTAAAAAGAAAAATGTGTTTGTTTCTGTTTTTAGTGGTGTATTTGTTCGTATAAAAGATAAAAATCTTCATGTTGATTGCTTCAAATGTGCCACATGCGGTACATCATTGAAGAATCAAGGTTACTTCAATATAAATAACAAATTGTATTGCGATGTGCACGCCAAATTGGCAGCCGTACAAAGCGCACCAACCGGTACCGAGGGCTATCGTCCAGGATTGATTCAACCGTAAGTACATAAGGCATTTTGAAATATCCAACCAAACTCACATAAAATAAATCATGCGTCGAACTCTGAAGATCAGCGTAAGAATTGAATGTTTTTTTTTCATGTAAATAATCGGATGGTTTTACTTTTTCACTCTCCTCAAGAACATAATTGTTATTACACACTTTGCCTTCATTCATTCATTCATTCCCGCCGATTTGAATCTCTCATCTATTCAACTCAAGTAGAAAATTATTATTAATAATCGATTTGTTGTCGTTTTTTCTTCTTCTTCTTCTTTTCTATTCACATTCTAGAAACTCCAAACTCACTGCAAACAGCACAATTTCAAATGCTTTGAGTTCACACGTGAACGGCGGTGTAAGTATCATTTGTTTTTCTCTTTAAATTCTGTTTTGTTTTACATTTGATCTAAAAAAGATTTACAACATACCAAAATATGTGTTTTATCGATGTTTGATTGTTTGATTTTTGATGTCGTTTTTCTGTTACGCAATCTACTCGTGTTTTGGTGGCTTTCTTTTAACCCGTGATGCGCTGACGCTATTGCTAACTTGATAAAAATTTACACATACATACACACACATACCAAAAAACCAAAAAAATAAACCAATACAAATCACACACACACAAACAGCATGATTTCACCATAATGCCAACACATTCGCGAACAAGTAGTTCGGCATCGTCTGTTGGCAGTTCATATGTAAGCAGTACGGATTCAAATAAAACATCACACATTGAATCACCAACACCACTTCAATCGCAATCGCAATCGCTTGAAATGTTCAACAACAATTCCAATTTTCATTCGTTAAATGGCTCCGCCACAACATTGCCTGCTTATCAGAGTGCATATAAACTAATCAATGAGCATCTGAATAACCAAAATGGTCATAAAAACGGCAACGGCAATGGAATACACCACCACAACAACAACAACAACAACAACAACAACAACAACAACAACAACAACAACAACAACAACAACAACAACAACAACAA